GCGACGGCAAGCGACGCACGAGCCGGCTGCACGTGCAGGGCCGGGTGCGCGTGGGAGAGCCGCTCTGCCCAACGCCGGGGTCCGGCCACGTGTCACTCCGACCCCCCGTGCCGTGCCTGGCCGCTGCTCTGAGCATCCCGGTGCGTGCCACGGGGAGAGCCCCCGTGCCCGACCGCGGCTCCAGGCGTCCCGGTGCACACCGTGGGGAGACCCCCGCACCCAGCTGCTCCAGCCCTTCCCTTGCACCCGTGTCCGAGGCCACAGCCCCACGTGGCGGGATGCCTGGGTGCCTCCGTGGCTCCTGGCCGGGGGCTTCTCTTCCGTCCCCGCAGTGGGGCCACGCAGCACCCATTAGCATGCTCTTGTGCCAGCCCCCTGCATCTGCAGACGGTGCAGCACCAGCAGCGATTGATGCCCGGCCGGGGCGCGGGGGCTCCCGGCCAAGCCCCCGCTGACGAAGCACATCCTCACCCAGCTCCCCCCGGCAACGTCGCGCCAGCTCGCAGGGAGCGGGCGGCTGCTCCGAGCAGATGGCTCCAGCCTCCGCTACATCAACATCTACTTAATGAGGGGAAAGCCGTCGCTGCCCCCCGCCAGCTTGGCAGCAGCAGCAAATGAGCCGGGGCAACCCCCCCCCCCAAATCCTCCTCCCCATCCCTTCCGTCAGTCCACTGCAGTGGTCCCCCTCCCCCCCCCCCCCCCCCTGCCACTTCCCCCAGCCCCAGCCCACGCAGGCAGCAGGACCCCTGCGTGTGGGGACCCCCGGAACCCCACAAACAGGATGACACCGAGTACCCACAAGGAAGACATTCAAGGCAAAGCCAAGCGCCTATTTTGGAGGAGGGGGGGAGGACCCTGCAGCAGCATTGCTGTGAGCTGCCGGATAAAGGAAGCATCCAAAATAGCTGCTCTTAATTATATCCTTGCTGACGAGCGCCACGCAAACAACAGGCACTGCAAGCGCTCGCTGCACGAGGAGCCCTGGCACGAGTGGTCTTATTCCTTGCAGTGAGGATGGGGTCCCTGCTGTGGAGTCCCCACAGGGAGCACATGGCCGTGCGCTCTGCCCACACACGTGCCACCGTGGGGACCCCATGGAGATGGCCGGAGCAGCCCTGGCTGGGTCCAGTGGCAATGGGGACACCGGGGAGCCGGTCCTCGCCACTGTCAGACAGTGAAAGGCTTGTACTCCTGCAGCCAAGGTCGTGTCAAGCACCAAGGCCGGCGTGATGTTCAGATGCTAATGAAGCCGTTATCATCTTCTGATCGATTTTGACTGTATAAATAATGCACCCGGAAGCTCGCAGGCTGCTGGCTGCAGGGGAAG